AAGAGAGAGAGAGAGAGAAAGAGAGAGAGAGAGAGAGAGAGAGAGAGAGAGAGAGAGAGAGCGAGAGGGATATGTGTAACATTTCTTTTAATCTGTCTACATACATTTTACGAAAAATTTATGCATAATAATATTTTTCACCTAAAATTAAGAATTACAACACATATACAATACAATTCTAATTAGTGATAATAGAAAATATGTTACTTATAAAACTACACATTATTAATTTCAGATTTGGAAAATAAAATTCAACCTTCAACACACAAATTTTTTTGTGATGTTGCAATTATAAATACACACAATAACTACCTATTGATACTGAAGTTACTTTGTTCCATCTCCTCCATGTAAAATATTGTGTACCAGCATTTTTCTATGTTTGATGCTTCACCTCAAAGACGGTGGTCTTATGATATAAAATCTATTACTTCTAAAACTTTGTATTATTAAGTCCATAATTTGAATCTGTATATACCCGCACAGGGTGCGGGTCGGTCACCTAGTTTGAAATTAGTTTTAAAGTTTTTTTTTGGAAAATAACACTTTGAAACTTTGAATATAAAGTTTGTAAATTTAAAATAAAATTTGTTTTTGAGTTGCTCTAAGGCTTCAAAAGATAAAAAAAAAAGTCACTATGCCGTTCATTGAGACAAACGATCATAAAATGAGTTTTAATTGCATTAACTTTGGTTTGGGTCATTAGCCAACCAAAGCCCTTTTGTTTGACGGAATTAGCCCTAGCCCAAAAATAAGCAAGGTTTTCTTAAACTGTAGTCGACAAAGTACGTAATCTATCAAAATTCATGTGTCGGGGTTAGGCTGGGGCGTTCGGATACCCCTTCAGGTATGAGTACAATCCATTTGGGTATCAGTTCTTTTGGGTTTTGAAAAATGATCTTATTTGGGTATTACAAAAAATCGGTTCGGTTCGAGTCGGATCCTCCCGGTTTCGGGTGGATTCGGGTTTTAACCAAAGTAACCAAAGTACTCGATTCTATTCGGGTATTTTATATCTAAACTACTCTAAAAATAACTAAAATCCTAAAAATACTCAATATATATGATTTAAATTGGCTATTTGTTTGTTCGAAAGTAACCATTGATACAATGTTATTTGGGTATTTTGTATCCAAACATCAATTTCATCTATAAATATCCAAAATAATTAATATATTTGACATAGAATTTTAATTTTAGGTATTACTATTAGTAAAGGTATAATTGTAAAGATTATTTTTCATATATATTTATACGTTTGGATATGTTCGGATACTCATTTGGTTCTCTGTACGGGTCAGGTTCGGTTTCGATTTTTTAAGTTTTAAGAAAAGGACATTTTGGATATTTAGGCCATACTCGACCGAGTTCAGTATCCTAATTTTTGAGTTGGTTTCGGGTCAGTACTTCGCGTTTGGATATTCTGTCCAACCCTAATCTGGGTCATATAATTTAGTATCAGGAATTTGGAATGTAACCCTTAATTGAATTCACTTTGCGCTCGAATGAAATTTTTTTTTTTTGCCTCGACTGGATTAAGGTGATTAATGTTGATAAATCTAGAAAGTTCAGAAGGATTTTTCTGATACATAGCTAACACAAGCGCAACAAAATTACTGAAAACAGAAATGGACTGTTTTGTTATGATTTCATATCATAAAAATCATTCTTTGAAATCAAAATATTTTGAGCATTATTATTTTTAATAATCATACACTTGTATAAATATTTGGATATGTTTGGATACTCATTTGGTTCTCTATACGGGTCAGGTTCGGTTTCGATTTTTTAAGTTTTTTAAAAATGACATTTTCGGATATTTAGGCCATACTCGACCAAGTTCAGTATCCTAATTTTTGAGTTGGTTTTGGGTCAGTACTTCGCGTATGGATATTATGCCCAACCCTAATCTGGGTCATATAATTTAGTATCAGGAATTTGGAATGTAACCCTTAAATGTATTCACTTTGCGCTCGATTGGAATTTTTTTTTTTTTCCTCGACTGGATTAAGATGGTTAATGTTGATAAATCTAGAAAGTTCAGAAGGATTTTTCTGATACATAGCTAACACAAGCGCAACAAAATTATTGAAAACAGAAATGGACTGTTTTGTTATGCTTTCATATCATAAAAATCATTCTCTGAAATCAAAATATTTTGAGCATTATTATTTTTAATAATCATACACTTGTATAAATATTTGGAGCACTATAGCCCATATATATAGTTTTACAGACTTCTTTATCATTCGTTTCAACTTTCAACACACGTCCAAGGGCATGACTTGATCTGGCACATTTGCGGACGGCTTGCATTTGACATACACCATTCAGTCCTTCGTACTCATATGCTTTACTAAAGGACAAGAAAGTATGGGAAGCAAGGATTGATGAGGGAGCTGTGTATTCCAATGTGTGTGAGAGTTTGAGACTGTACTCGACTGATTTTGTAAATTTATAGAATTTATAAATTAGGAGAGAATAATTAAAATTATTAGTTAAGAATAGACTATAACATATTTTTAATAAATAAAAACTATTGATGATTAGTTCATATACATACCGAAATTTTGATAAAAAGACAAGAAAGAAAAAACAATTATATCAAAAGATCCATTCAATTTTTTTTCACAAAATAATTCAAATCATATGGCTCGTTACATTAACCCTATAGTTAACATATATATATAGTATCTGTTGAATTTCATGTACCTATTTTATAATTTATATATGTACCTATTTAATGATATATATATATATATATATAAATTTTTTTTTTACTTGAAGAAATCCCTGAGAAGTGAGAACTCTAAAGATCGTTACACAGAATCGATTCTTCCAAAGTCATTGACATTGTAAAACCCATTAGAGAAGAACCCGGAGAAACCTTCCGACATATGAGGTAAGGACATATCGTAGTCATCCACCAGATCATCGAACGGATCCTGCTCAAGAACACGTGGCACAAGATTCTCCGACGGCGGCGGAGAAGGGCTGTGGTCGGAGACAGCGGAGGAGGAGAAAACGGGCTCAGGCTGAAGATTAACAGCGTCTTGGCCCGTGAGCTCTTGTACGAGCTCTCTAAACTTGGAAGCACAGGTTTTCACTCTCATGGGATTTGATATGTAACGCACTTTGATGTGTTTGTTCGTTGAAGTCGTCTTCTTCTTTTGCTTTAATGGTTTTCCTGAAACTGGAGATGGGTTTCTTTGATCTAAGCTTGTGGTGGTGAGAAACGGCGACGATGATGATGACTCCATGTTGTTGAGAGAATCCTGATGAGTTTGTGTCTTTTGTTTATCTCATTTTAATTAATCTCTTAGCATCATATATATAACGACATTTTGTTTCTTTTGCAATTGGAAAGAGAGTGGAAAATAATGGGAAGGAGAAATGAAACTAGAGAAATTATGAAAGAGTGACTAAATTGGTAGATAAAATCGATATAATTCAATAATTTGGCTCGGTTCGGTTCGGAAATCGGTTATATCGGATTTTAATTTTCAAACCGAAAATATCCGAAATTAAAGGTTTTGAACCGAAAAACCAAATTAAGGTTTCGATTGTTATTTTTACTTTGAAGACTTTAGAGGCTTTAAACTAATTCTAAAGTCATTAAAGTCAGTTTTATTCTACTCAGGCTTTTAGATCTCTAAAGTCTTCCTTAAAAATCTCAAAGCCAATATAACTGATTTTGCTTTTGGCGTGATCTACTTTTCTAAAAGTTACAAAGTTAGACTTTCATCTATTTCTAAAGCCACTTTTATTTTCTAAAAATCAAAAGTTGTAACAGTCAAGCTTAAATTAAAAGCCTTAATAGTAAAAACTTACAAAGTCATAAACAATTGAACCCAAAATTGGGTACTTCCGGTTAATTTTGATTATTCGGTTCTTCGGTTTCTTCGGTTCTTACCTGAAAATGAAATTGAAACATTAGCAGATTGACAAAATAAATAGAAAACAACATCCTTTTGACCTTTTTCAATCAACATAACCAAAAGATCAATCATTCATAGACACACTTATATTGAAAAAGTTCCAAAGTTCCAAAAGTAGTGAGAGACCAAAAACAGAACACCATTATCTCTTCACTATCATCTCTTCAGTCTCGAACTGCAACATGCAAAAGTACAAATTATAGAAGTGAATTTTTTTTAAAAAAAAAACAGACAGCAAAGCACATAATTAAGACTCCAAAACAGAAAGTGAGATATTTACCTTTAACTGTTCAATTCTTCTGGTATTGTTAGAGTCTCTGTATAATAAAAAAGACAGTCAAATGCCAAACTAAAAACATGAGAAATAACACTAATACGAGTAAAATGTCAAAACGATTATCTAAAGACTTATGGAAGTCTAGTTCTTCAAACATCTGAGTCAAATTAGCTTGTTTTTCTGCACTGATGCTATTGCGAAGCCACTGTTGTGTACAAACAAGTGTTTCAATCATATATGGTGTGAGGCAGCTAAGAAAAGGATCCAAAATCCGACCACTTGTACTGAAAGCCGACTCTATAGCAATAGAAGAAACCTGGATAGCAAGCACATCCTTCGATAGTTCTGATAATATTGGAAACTTTACAAAACTACGCCTCTACTATGATAGCACATTGTAGTCAAATCCCATATTGCTTGAACTTCTACGAACAGGCCTTTCCATCAAATATATGTCAAGCTCGCTACTAGCCTCTTCATTTGCAGCCTCTGAAACCATCTCAGAATACAAAGAATCCCTCCCTTCATACTCCTCATCTTCATCATCAGACATCTCAAACAAGCATGCAACTGTTTCTCCGTTCTCACTCATGTTTCCAGCACTATCACCTTGAGATGGTGGACCCATCTTNCAGGCCTTTCCATCAAATATATGTCAAGCTCGCTACTAGCCTCTTCATTTGCAGCCTCTGAAACCATCTCAGAATACAAAGAATCCCTCCCTTCATACTCCTCATCTTCATCATCAGACATCTCAAACAAGCATGCAACTGTTTCTCCGTTCTCACTCATGTTTCCAGCACTATCACCTTGAGATGGTGGACCCATCTTCACAGCATACTCATCATACAATTGTTTCATCAACGCCTTTATGGAGGTTCTGAGATGAGCACTTTCCAAACTGTCCTTGCCATAAAGCTTGTCGAAACAAATAGATGCAAATTGCATCTTGTTTCTAGGATCAAAGACACTAACAATGATTATAAGCGGATTCATATTGATGAGCCCATGGCAATACTTCTCAAACTTGGTCCTCATTTCTGTTGCTTGCATCCGTAGAAGATCATCCCTACGGTTGCTCAAAGCTATCAAATTCCTCTCAATGATCACAATTTTATTGTAACAACTAGTTGACGTCACTGATTTTGATGCTGAAAATGCCAAAGTGCTTCCGAAAAAGAGTTTAAGAAACTTGACCAACCTATGCACTTCATCCCAACCCTGAGAAGTTGGAGGCCCAACTCTTTTATGTCCATTCTCTTTAGACTCCTTGAAGTACTCATTGTACAACATGTCTTCGGCCAATAGCTTCTCAAATGCAACTCGAAATTTCAAAGCAGCCGACAGCATAAGATATGTAGAGTTCCAGCGTGTGAGACAATCCAGAGACAAGCTCCCTCTACTAACCTTTCTGGTAAGAACCCTTAGCTAAAAAGACTGAAGTCGTGTACCAGATGATCTAACATATTTGACAGAATTCCTAATAGCTGTTACACTCTCTTTCACCTCAGCTAGACCATCCCTGACAATCAAGTTCAGTACATGCGCACAACAACGCATGTGTAACAGAGAACCATCCTTGATTAGCACATTAGGTCCTTGTTGTCTACAAGCTTCAGTGAACAAACGCAATGCCTTTTCATTCCCTTTAGCATTGTCCACTGTCACTGTAAACACCTTCTCAATTCCCCAATCCACTAGACATTGACTCAAATGCTCAGAAATGGTCTCTCCTTTGTGATCTGTCACAGGTTTAAAACTGATGATCCTCTTCTGCATATCCCAGTTTCTGTCTATCCAGTGCGCTGTGACTACCATGTAGCTGTAGCTTGTTCTAGGAGCAGTTCAAATGTCAGTGGTTAAAGAGACCCTCTTCTGCTCAGAACAAAATAGATGCTTCAAACTCGCTTTCTCCTTCATAAACATTCCAAATACATCTTATGTTGTTGTTTTTCTGCAGTGAACCGTATACATTGGAATAAATTGTGACAGAACCTCCTAAACCCCTCTGACTCAACAAAATAAAACGGCAGCTCATTTAGAATAATCATCTCATTCACAGCAGTGGCGGAGCCAGGGCTTAGGCACATGGGTCAGTTGACCCAGGTGAAATATGTGTAAAAAAAATTTTTTGCTTGTATTTAGTAGAAAAACTGAGAAAATATCACAAAAATTAGACAAATGACCCATGTAATATATGTTCCTTATGAAACTGGCCCTCTTAGAATTTTTGGCTGCCTCTGCCACTGATTCACAGATCTCCTAAACAATCCAGTATCATACGTAACCGCAGTAACTACACCAGCACTATCAGTTCCTAAACCTTGTTGACCACCACTAGCCTCAAAAGTTTGGTACAACTTACACCGGTTATTATGATTCCTCATTGCGCTAGTCCCACTCTTTTTAGTGTCACATCCAATCTCCTGACCAAAGTAACGACAATTGCAGACACTCAGGTTATCTTCCTTTTGAATGAAGTGTTGCCACACTGGTGCCCTATGAGCTTGTCTTTTCTTTGGTAACGGAGGAAAGTCAGTGCTTGATCTCTCAGTGGTCGATCTTTTCTTTCCAGAAGCTGCATTTGGCGTGATTAAATTCCATCTCCAAGTAGCTCATCATTGTCTTCACAACCTGACATCTGCAAAAATAAAATGTAACTGGTACAAGTTAGTAACAGAGAAAGAAAGACATTAATCAACTCATCCTAATACATTAATAAAATGAACAATTAGCAGCTAGATTAGAGACTAAGACCCATAAGAAACCCTATATCGATCAATCTTAAACCTTTAAACTTTAAACCCCAATCGATTTTGACCAAAACCCTAAACCGAAAATCCATCTAAAACCCTAAAATGATTGCTATATAACCACTTTTAGAGATTAATACACCGTCAATAGACTATTCCTTCGACCTAAATCAAAAACCCCTAATCAATTTTCACACAAACCCTAATATCCAAATCGATTTCAAACTCTAAAAATAACTTGAAATCGACACAAAACAAGAGAAAGGAGAAGGAACACCTCACCTCGTAGTCACAGAGATGGAAAAAGACGAGCTTGACTGAGGATTCCAAGAAGAAGAAGAGATTCGGGTTTGAGAGAAGAAAAAGACGATTGGGTTACTAAAATAGGTTTAGCCATTTAGATTAGAAGAAAATTAAGTTAACAGGTATATATATACTAGGTTTATTTTCGGTTAACCATTCAGAATTAGCTAATCGAACCGAACCGAAGCAATAACCGAACATAATTTAAACATCTGCCGAAGCAATAACCGAACAATAACCAAAATCTGTATTTCTCGGTTCGGTTCGGACCGTTCGGTTCGGTTCGGACCGTTCGGTTCGGACCGTTCGGTTCGGTTCGGACCTAATCAAGACTATTGATATCATTAACAACCACTTTAAAATAATTGATATACGTTAATACTTTTCGAATATAAAATTTATCATTATCTATAGTTTATTACTCTATATTAAATAATTAGTTTAAAAAAATAAGTTTATTGTCTATGAATATTGTAATCTATTTTTTTATAAAATTCTGTAATACTACTTCTAATTCTTAATTTTTTATCATCTATAAAAAAAAAATATATCATCTATTAGCGGGCGCGTCTAAGCATTCTGATAGGTGGAAACATTCGAAATATCTTCACTTGGATATCCCATGCGCTTGAATGGTCGCGTGGTGAGAAGAAAAGGAAACGTTGAGTGGTGCTCGAGGCGAGGAAGAAGGCGGCTCTGGGAGCTATCGTTGAAGCTCCTCCACGTAAAATACTGGTTTCACATAAAAGATGACGCCTTTTATGACATCACCGTATATCATCCGAGATGACGTCCCGCAACCCGCCATTAGAATTCAAATTTGATAATTGTTGGAAAAGAAAGGCACCGCATACGTGATTGGAGAAACCTTTTCATATTTGTACAGATTCATTTGTTCTTCGATAGTCAAACTGATTCGAGAATAGGAGACACCATTCATTTTCTCCCAAAACAGTTCTACAGATTATATCTCTAAGTTTTTGTAGGTGGTTGTTTGAAATCTGACATTGATTGCTTT